TAAACTATTTTATTCCCTCAGTTTACATAAAACACTGATATGCTTTCTACATGGATGTCTAATTGAAAGAAATGACTTAACAACACTTTCTATGATCTTATTTACGGTCACTAACTAACATAAACTGCTCCAACTGGAGGAACTACAAGGAAACAGAAGCCTGTAAAGAACTTGACTGAACTTGTTCAGTTTAAATTATTTGTGTTTTGTTACCAATATTTGATGATTTTCACCTTAGTGTACATTTCATATTAAAAGACTCCCATTTCCACTGTAATAAAGCATCTATTAAAATAATAAGAAGAAAAAGATAGATTAACCATTTGCAAATTGATGTCATATCACTCCAGAGGCTGACCTTATGCAGCCCTGCAGGACCTTCAAAGTAAGACACCAGGTACTCTACAAAATAAAAGCCTTAATAATATACTCAGCATTTTATTGCATTATAGGGATCTTTATCATGACCCCAGTCACCACGAGATATGGCGACGCCATTCATCATCAAGCGTGAACAAGCAAGTTGCCACCTGGCATGGTGACATACTGTATTTCTCCATTAAGTTTCACACTCTTACCCGATGTCAGGTGAACCCAAATAACCCTATGAAGCCTTTGGTGCCACCCTGGCTTTGCCACAGAACCTAAAGCTGTACAAAAACAACTATGCATCAAGTGGCAGGCACCTCCAAAATGACCTTTGGGAATTTTCTAGTTCAAGTTATTATCCTACCTACATTATGTTAATTGGGGCAACAGCGGTGTTGGATGTAGGAGTTTGCCCTGAAATCGAAGGGTTGACGGTTCAAGCCCTGACTCTGACTTTCAGTGTTGTTGTGTCCTTGGGAAAGACACTCCACCTGCATTGTCTACTGATGGTGGTCAGAGGGCCCGGTGGCGCCAGTGTACGGCAGCCCCGCTTCTGTCAGTGAGCCCCAGGGCAGCTGTGGCTACAATGTAGCTTGCCACCATCAGTGTGTGAGTGTGTGCATGAATGAATGTAGTGTAAAGCGCTTTGGTCAAGTCTCCTGTATTGAATAAAGGCGCTATATAAGTACATGCCATTTACCATATTATCTTAACATCTCATTCCTGGCGGCTCAGCCCTACAGACCAAAACCAAGAACCGCCTTAAGCTCCCAGGAAAACTGTCCTGCTGAATGAACTTAGAGAACTTTAGCTTAAGCTGGTGAGACATTTTCATCCACTGTTTTATGGTAGAAAACAGAATTTGTGGTTAATCAGTTGTTGCAATCATAAAGGCTCTGTGGCAGCAGGGCGGCCTCAGACCATCAAATTACTGCCGCCACGTTTGTCAGTTTGAGGGGGGGGTTAATAAGAGATATAATGAGAAAAACAATGTCTTAAAATCAGTCAGTCTTTTCTGTCTAGAGGAAATTTTAATCCAAAAGTCTTGGGGATAATGGAGATCTTGTTCAGCAAATGTGAGACAGAAACATATCTTTTTGCCATGGAACTCTCCCATGGATGCCATTTTTGTTGTGTCTCTCTTTTTGTTTTTTGCAGAATCCTTACCACTGATCTGAACTCAGTCTGCAGAGCTCTGGGTTATTCTCTGAGATCCTGGATGAAATGATAGCTTAAATTATAGCTGGCCGCTTCTTGGGAAAGTTTACTGTTTGATGCTTTCACTATTTGTTGATAACAGCCTTCACTGTAGTTCAATGGAGTCCCAAAGCCTTAGAAATGTCTTTGTAGCCGTATTTCTAGACTGATAGATCTCAGTTACATTGTTTCCAATCATTTCATGTTTTTTGTTTTTTTGTTAAACTGGGGTATAGACTCGATTTCTATCTACTTCCTGTTGTCAAATAGGCTGAGTGATTCATTAATTCCATAAGTCTTGTATAATATAGGCAACAGATACGCTAAAATAAAAAATGGGCCTGTTTTTTTAATAGTTATTTATTTATTTATTTTGTTACAGTATATATAGTATATAGCCAAGGCTGTATAATACACATAACCTTGGTTGGCATGGGTAGCTTTCTTTGTTCAGTAAATAATATCATCTTGAAAACTGTTTTTTTTTTCTATTTACTCAGATAATCTTTGTCCAGTATTGAAATATTTGTTTGACGATCTTAAAAATTTACTGAAATTGTGACCAAAAACAATCAAAAATAGAATGTCTTTTCACAGCCCTTTATGTGAAAAAAGTAAAGGATGAAATTTCAGGTTTAGATGTCAGATATTTATAGTTGTATTGTTTAATCCAGCAAATTGTTCTGTTATCTGGGTCAGTGTCTATTTCTCTCTTTCTCTTTCTATTTATTTTGTGTGTTTCTATTTAGATCCTTCGGGAATGGGAGTGGGATTTCCTGCAACACATCAACGCCCATGGAATGTACTTTGTCAACTGTCTTTGTTGAGCACACACACATACACATGTGCACACATACGCACACACATGCAGTGACACACGTCCACCTTTTCCTTCCTTTCTCCTGCCACTTAGCAGCCACAGGGAAATACATATTTGATCTGTTTGACCTCGTGGTCAGAGGAGGATTGATGCAAAATGTGAAGCCAATATGAAGCCAGGAATAAAATCTAATGCAGGAGTAATTCAACATGCCGCAACAGTTGCTAATCTTATGCGCTCTTATAATTGACTACCTTTTAAAAGTGTCTAGATGATGACGTGCAAACAAATTAATTATGATTAAAAAGTAGAAGCAGACACTTTTTTATTTCATAATTAAGGCATGGTTAGTTTCATTTCAATTTTGGAGCAACAATAAAATAAACTTTCATGCACCTGGTAAATACTGCTCCAAAATCTATAAATATACACATAATAAAACCTACATGATTTACCAAATTATGAATAAAACACATTTTCTAAAAAAAAAAAGATCAAGAGTATTTCTAAAATGTGAAAATAAAGTGCTGATCTTTCTTTTACATTACTGCCATCCATGTTCAGAGACTTACCACATTTATCCACTTGTAAGGCTTGTCGGCACACTTGTTCTCTGCTTTCCTGTTTCCAGTCGTATTTTCTTTCATATGTCTGGGGTTGATCTGCCAGTCTGGGTCGCCTGTATGAGTCGTGGGGAGGGTTAGTGGACACCGTTTCCTGTATCTTTCTGATTGGTCATGAAGTAAGCGCCTAGGGCATGAGCTGAATTCAGCACAGACCCACAGCAGCAGGCGTGTGAAAAGCATAGTTTTTGAAAATTTGCAGTTTTTTTTTTTAACTTACAATATATAACTTTCAGACACACAGTTGAGTATTGTGGTTTCCTTCAGTTTTGCTTTCGACTTGCCATCATGCAGACATGCAAAGGAGCTGCAATCAACCACAGGAAGGCTTTCAACTTTTACTCAGTAACATACATTTTCGGTCTATTGCTGCTAAACATCTCAGACAAAGAAAAACATTGGTTATATATACTTTGCATAGAGTTAAAGCTATGTTTTAATCTTAATTCTGGTTTTAAAAGTCGATTAATGTAGCCAATTTTATTCTTTTATGGTGAAAATGTGTAGTAATGTGCAATCTATACTGATCAGCATTCAATGCACCTGTTTAAGCCCTGTTTTGAGAAAAATAAAACACATCCTCTTTGAAATCAGGTTTTACATATCAGCGCATGAAAGGAGTTACCTTGACCTTAAAGACTTTGTCAACTCTAATATCAAACACACAGATTCTATTGTACTGTTATTATTATTATTATTATTATTATTATTATTATTATTATTATTATTATTATTATGATTATTCAATAAATAAATATAAAGACACATTGGAAAGGCTGGAAAAAGAAAATAAAGTACAAATTTACAAAAATGTACAAAGAGTTTATAACTGCCTCCCAATCTGTGGTTACAAAACAAGTTAAAATTATCCCTATGGCATCATCAAGCTTTAAAGATATCAAAGGTTTTTATGTGTATATACATAAACAAAATCATGTGCATTGTGAATAAAATGTTCTATTATATTGCTATGAAACCAAAGTGTTTCACATGCCATCTCAGTCAAATGCAGTGCTTGACAACCACAGTCTGCATAACTTCCAGACAGACAAAACGGAAGTGCATTGATACTCTTTACTGTGAGCAACAGGTGGGTTAAAATGTTGGGCTATTGTGTTTTTCTGAGTGTTTAATATTTGCACAAATAATTAACAAATCTTAACATTTCATGTTGAAATTTACGTGAATTCCTTGAGGAATTTGAACTAATATGTCTGAATCATTACTGAGTTTTAGCCAGGTTTATTAGTCCATAGGGCTAATAAAATCCCATAGCCCATAGCCCACTGTTTTTAATGTTCTTTTTTTTCCTGCATTTTTTATTTTATTTATTTATTTTTTCCTACTTGCTTTGATTATGTTTTATATTCCTGTATTTTAATCATGTAAAGCACTTTGCATTGTCTTTGTACTGAATTGTGCTATAAAAATAAATTTGCCTTGCCTTGCCATAGAACTAATAAAAGCACTGAAACTGTGATAATTACTGTTGATATTTTTATGGCCTAAAATCAAGGATTTGGGTCTGTTCTTGCGATATTAGATCTGACGCTACATTTGTACAGTTGATCACACTATTATTCTAGAAAAGCTTGAACGTGATTTGGTAATTTAATTAAAATTCACCTGTGCCACCAAAATCAAAATGCTCCTTTACTTTTCTCCACTAGGGGCAGTATCTGAGCTGAGCTGGCGATGGGGAGCTCCTCTGAACAAAGATAGGTAAATAACAAAGAGGATTGGTGACTTGCACCAATATTCTGGTGGCTCTCGCTGTTACTTAAATAATGGCTTGACTCTCCTTATTAAACTTTAAGAGACTAATTTAGTCTGTGTTGTTGCTCTCTGTAGCTGATTTCATAAAGCACATTTTTAGTGTTTGGTTGACTCAAATATTAAAGTTGTGTAGAATGTTTTCGCGGGTCTGTTTTAAAATAATCCACGGTGTCAGGCGTCGTGCTTCTCCTGGCTGTGAGCCTAGGGGGATTTTCTATCTTGTCGTTTTCCTGTTGCTGAGGATATTACATAATATGGCGGCTGTAAGCTGTTGATGTAGGTCAGAGCCAAAACATCGGATCTGTCCTTTTTTTTTAATACTAAAATTGTAATTTTTTTTCATCTTGCTTGGCCGTACAGATCTGTCGCTAACATTCTTTTACAATGGGAATCAGCAGGATACACATTAGCATAGGCTATGCTAGCTGCGGGACTCTGTTTGGATTCTCAGCCTTCTTGGTTTGGAATATCGCCTATAAACAGCCATGGACAGCGGCTATGGGAGGCCTGTCGGGTATGTTTATGAAACATAACTGCTATTACCTGCAATAAATGTTCCAGTATTTGTTATAATGCATCGCCCTTCAATCAATCCTAGATGTATGGCCCAGACTGCGGCCTTCTGGGGCTAAGATGCTGTAACAGGCGCCACTAATCACTCCTTAAATATCGACTAAGGTCTGTTTAAATCGCTTGAGGATAACATTAGTCAATAGGATCATATTCAAAGATGGCCCCCGGTGGTTTGGGGCCACATAGGAGTTTTATTTGTGGGATCCCATGCTTATAATTGAGACCAAGTTAAAAAATGTTCTACAAGCAACATTTATGCGACCCTGATATTATAGTTTTATATTCTGTTATTCATTTATAAATTTCTTATGCACTTTATACTTTGTGTCCATTATCATCTTACTTTGTATGGTACATTGCAACTGTTTGTTCAGATTCTGACTTAAGAGACTTAAACCAAAGTTGCTCTTGGCCATCTCCTGCATGTTAATGTTTTTAAATTGGAGTCACAAAACATTTTTCTTTCTTTACTGTAAACTATGAGCTCATCGTGAAAAATAACTTAATATTATTTGTTGAGGAAATTGAAACAGAACTTTAAAGGTTGAAAATGGCTATAGAGGAATTTTTTTCTCTTATCAGAACAAACACAAAAAGTCAATTAGAATCAAGACAAATCAGTGACAATTGGTTTTGTTCATTTGATCCTAATTCTTTTGAAATATGCAAGAAATCTAAAAATATAAGATGTATGAATAAAAAACTTTTTATTTCCCAATTGTATTTTCTTTATATGTTTTACAAAGAAAACATGCTCAATCTACCTAACATATGAACTATATTAGGGCTGAAACATTTAAGCAGAGTTAATCGTGAAATGTCAAATTTAACTAAATTGAATGCTAAGCTCTTCAAATGAGTGTGTCGGTTATTTGAGATTAGTTTTTTATCATTTAAACAGTTGTTTATACCTTTTTTTCTCCCCTGTTTGTTGCCGTGTTTGTGTTCTCTGATGGGGGCTTCTCGCCCCGGGCCTTAAAGCAGCTGTTTGTGCCTTAAGCTCTTAGGATACCCATGTTTGATTCTATGGCACATTTTGAAATGAGCTCTTCTATTAAAAACCCTTAATTCGCTATCTTAAATGCACGTCAGGTAACATTCCTCAGCTTTGAACAAAGCAGCAACAGATTGTGCTGTCAGTATTTATTAACAAAAGTTTGTGTATGTAAAAAAAATAAATAAAAATGATATGCTTGATTGTATTTAAAATAGAAAACAAGCATTTAAGACTGAATTGAAAAAAATAAAATAAACGGAAGCTTTGCTGAAAAGCTGTTTGAATAAACATGATTGTAAAAAAAAATTAAAAAAAGACAATACCAAAGCAGGTTCATTGTCTTTATACTGCAGAATATTATCCTTTAATTTCCATTCAGGTAAGAAGTGGATTTCTGATTAGTTGAAACTTTTAGTCACCTGCTTAAGAAACATCTATTTCTAGCTTCTGAGCTGTAGGTTTAAAGCTGAATTATATCAGGGATGTTGGAATTCATTTAGTTTGCCAAGTGAAATATTAGAAAATGACCCAGTTTTTCTTTCAAAACTAAATTTCATGGCCTTTTTTTAGTGAGCAGAAAACTGGTCATTTAGGGACTTTTATTTGAGGGAACTTTTTAGCTATATTAAAACTTATCCTACAGGTAACTGATCTATGTGCTGAAGAATAGATTGATAGAGCGTCCTGTCAGAGCTTTTTATAATGATGCCAGTATTCGTTTAATCAAGCAGAAAACTAATCGTTGTGTTTTCTTCATCTGACAGGAGTCTTGGCGTTCTGGGTTCTAGTCACACACATCATGTACATGCAGGACTACTGGCGCACCTGGCTCAAAGGCCTCAGGTTCTTCATTGTTGTCGGAGTGCTCTTCTCAGTGCTGGCGGTAGCAGCCTTCTTTACCTTTCTAAGCCTGGCCATCACGCAGAAACAATGTAAGCCTCTCTTGGTGTCAAATCATATTTGAAAATGTATCGTAACTGTTCATTTAACTGTTTGTCATTTCCGTCCCACAGCGCTGACCAACCCGAGGAGCCTTTACCTGTCCTGCGTTTGGAGCTTCCTGACCCTCAAATGGTCCTTTCTCTTGGCCTTGTACTCTTACAGATACCGCCAGGAGTTTGCTGACATCAGCATCCTCAGCGATTTTTAGCCAGAAGGATTTTTATAGACTTCAGTGAAGGTTGAAGGATTTACGAATGCCAGCAGGAGCTGGACTCTGAGCTTTGTAACAACGAGGAGGAAAAGCAGACATGGTTGTTTTGGAAGTCAGGTGGCTTTTACAGCAAGGAGATGCACCTGTTACACTAGCTTAACGAGCTTTTATCTTCGTCTTGTAACCTGTTCTCCTACCTAACCACGAGTTACAGCTGAAAGTCCATGCTTGTACAGACTGGATCCGGGCTCTGCTGGGAATGAAGGGAATTTTTCAGAGCAGATTGCATCTCTGGATTGTTTTATGACAAAACAATTAGAGTGTAAGAAAATCACCACCATTTTGGCGTCATAATTCGGATTTGACCACAAACCAAAACAAAATGCTGAACATGGAAGTGCACATCTGGTTGGTTGATTCCTTTTTATTTTTTCTGTAGGATCATCTAAGAAAATAACATAATAATTAATCATCTTCCATGGATATCTGGAAAGTAGATGTTTAGATGTCAGTGGTGCTGAAATTGAAGTAATTTTCATAACCCCCCCCAAAAAAACAACGAAAACATAAAGTTGATGGTCCTGATTCTATTTTCTTTTGATATTTCACAGCGGGGAAAATAAGTGTTAAATAGATCAATGTTTTTTCTCCTTAAATACTTTTCTAATCACAGCGTTGGTATTAAACTAAAACCAGCTGCTGATAACAAGGGAATTAAAAACATACAATACTTCATTTAAAAAACCTTGTTTAGATTAAATGGTTGGTAAAGGCGCTTCTCGTTAGAAAAGCCTGTTCTTTTAGTAATTTCAGCCTAGAAAGAAAGAAGCTAGTTCATTGCTCAGGTGTTATATCTTTTTAAATTTTATTTTTTGCTCCAGCTCTTGAGCTATTTTAGCCTCTGTTTTTTTTCTGTTCACAACTGTTTTAGACCCTATTCTTTCTTAAAAATCCTCCAAATCTTTATTCATTCTTATCCTGTAACAGTAATAATAAACTCTAATTGACGACTAACCCATAAAAACTGACAGGGTTGTCGGGAATGTTTCTGGAGGCACTTCCTGCTTCTTTTCATTTCAAGACATGAGAAATAAAAGCTGCTTTAATGATTCAGAGTAGGATTTAATGCTGCAGTCAGTAACTTTTTAGCAGTACTGTACTACATGTTGCTCCCTTTATTAAAATTTCCAGTGCTGCCATTCCTCTTAATGTGAATTTCCCATCTGTTGGTCAATAGAAATCTATTTGCTGAGAATACATTGACATTTTTAATGCCTATTTTCCCTGATGTATGTTAAACTGTTGTTGTATTCTGGTTGAAGGTTATTGATGCATTAAAAGCATAGGTAGGAACTATCGTATAAAAAACCCCCACCGGATGAATTGTTTGTGCGATCACTCCACTGATGCATTAAATAACAAAACAAAACAACTTGCATGCAGGATGTAGGGGAGGGGCATTTCTGCAGGATATTTCCTTGCTTTCATTTGTCTGTCGTCTGATTCCTTAAATGAGTTTGTGTAATTTCCTGTATGCTATATTTATGTTTTCAACTCTGAGAGGTTGTGCAAATTTTCCCTGACAAAATGTCCACAAATGATTTTTTTTTGTATTATTTGGTAGAACTCTAGGCAGATGCTGAATCCACTCCATGTTTTCTTAACCAACAGTACTGCAATACTTTGATTTTCGTACCTGTTCTTCTTTAGAGCATCCAAATGCAGTCCTTCCATTCATTTAGGGTCTCTTCACAACAGCCTACTTGTGTCTTTGGGGGAAAAATAACTTTTTAAAGTTGAGGCACTAATTTAAAGCTTTATCTGAAAATGTTCATGTGATCAAATTTCTGAATGAAACATGTATCATCTACATTTCATGAAAAATTTGCTTTTCTCTGTTTCTTCCACAAGAGGGAGACTTGCTTACAAGTGAGAATATTTTTTTCAGATGTTAACATTCCTGCTTTGGAGAAATCACAAATGGATTTGACACAGAATTGCACTTTAGTCTATGACATCATGCCCTTGTTTTGCACACAGGCTTTGCACCCCTATAATGTAGTAAACCAAGCATATGTAAGGTTCAATCTTCTATCAGATTGATTTTACTGATCAAGTTGAACTACTCTTTATTGATTTAGTTTCAGTTGTTCATGTCTACCTTAATTCTGAAACATGTACAGTTTTTTTTTTTTTTTTTGTCGATGATTGCATGTAAGAATACTACAAGTACAAACCAAACACATTAAAGATGCATTTAATGTTATTTCTGTCATGTTAAGTCTTTATTAATAAAGCAAAGATACAGCAGTGGGATTGGCTTAAGTTCATAATATTTGGTGCTTTGGTAACTAACTTATAAGAAAAAAGATAAATTTGGGTACAGATATTAAGAATAGTTAGAAAAATGCAACATCTTCAGGTAAGTTTGGTGAGCAAACATTTTTTCGGAAAGTTTTCTTAAAGGTACAGTGGAGGATTTTCACCAACATTTGAAAAGACCTGCCCTCTCCACTTAAAACAATAAAAATAAAAAATACACATGCACAACCCTGTACTTGCACCTTAGAGGGAACGCCTATTAAATGTGTGTGCATGAACTATCCCATTTCTCCTCGTAAACGCTCTATTTAGAAGTTGCTGTTTGCATCGCTAATACTAGCTTAATTCCAAAAGAAGATATGCAATTTTTCCACTTTGTCAGACTCACCTGCAGTAAGTAATAATGGGGACTTGCACGTAGGATGGCCTTACGCTAACATATCACCAGAATGATTGATAATTAGGAGGACCAATTATTTTGATGATCCACCCCGGAAAAAAGAACATCCTCCACTCTTTTAAGTATTAATTTTTCTAAGGACTTTTTACTTTCTACTTTCTGCAAACTGCCTCATTACTTCTCTATGTATTGATAATGACATGATGTAGCAAGTTCAACAAAGTGGGAAGAAAATCTAGAGCACAAAGATAATCTGTCCAGTTAGAGCCCAGTTAGTTTATTGGAAAACACTGACTGTGACATGGATTAAGATGAGGGGCTGGGAATTATGGCACCTGATTAATCCAATTCTGAGAACTGAAACATCCCCCATCCATTCCCAATTTATAAGACTATATTTACATGGTCTTGTTTACAGCTCTATTTGCAGCTGTAATGTAAATACCAGATTGCTAAAAACAACCATAAAGCATGCTTACACAGGATTTCTGTTCAGGTCATTCTATAATGTCCTGTCTGAAATGTTGATTCAGGGTAAAACTAAACTTTCATTATTTTTCATGATCTCTCCACCAACAAAGTGAGTGAAAGAGGAGAATGGACCTTTTTTCTGTTAAAAGAATGAAGTTTATAGTTAGGTTAACTTATATCTTTAAAAATGTACTGCCTGTACTATTTTACTTTTTCTTAAATAAGAGGTTAGTCGGTACTTTTACTTTCTCCAAAGGGTTTTCAACACAGTTATCTATTTTTCAATAATTATAAAATGTGAGAATCTTTGACAACTCTAATATATACATACTTAGACAAATTCAGAATAAGCAGCAATATATATATATATATATATTGCTGCTTATTCTGAATTTGTCTAAGTTTGTGTGTGTGTGTGTGTGTGTGTGCATGTGTGGCCATGTCTTTAATACCTGGTGGGGACAATTTCCTAGGAATATGCTACATTTTGGGGACTCATAGGTACTTGTGGGGACCAACAACTGGTCCCCATAAGGAAAGTTTCTCTTCTTGGGGTGGGGGTTAGGTTTAGGACTAAGGTGTGAATTGAGTTTAGGTTAGGTTTAGGGATAGGTATGTGTCGGTAATGGTTAGGGTTAGGGCAAGGGTCATGGTTAGGCCATATAAATTAGTGGGAAATGAATGGAAGTCAATGGAAGGTCCCCACAAGGATATTGTGACACAACATGTGTGTGTGTGTGTGTGCAGTCCCCATTTTTTTTTTTTTTAGAAAGAGGAAGGTGCAGTATACTTATTTATTTAGTGTTCGAGTATCTGACTCTAGGCTATGAGGCGTTCATTGTTCATAAGAGAGACAGCCTGGGGAAAGAAACTATGCTTTAAAAACTGCAGACCTTGTAAGTTTTAGAGGAAGAAGCTCCTGGTCGCCTGATATTGATGTAATACATTGCTTCACTTTTCCATATTAGCTCTTGCTACATCTACAAAGTTTATTTTATTGGCTTTTAATTTGATAAACTAACAAAAAATGTCAGATAAACATGGTTCTTGATCACTTTCAAAAATCTGAATCTGTGCATATGTTTTACATTCTCCGATTGAAGCCTTTGTCTTGGCATGAAGAAATGGAACATAGAACATAGGGTATGAAAAGTTTTTCAAGAATAAAATGTTTTTTAATATTCGACAAGATGACCCTGGGTTCCAAAATGTAGCCCTTTGATGCTGTTTCTGTTTTTTTCCCTTTTATTTCTTCTGTGTTACTTTCTTTGGCTGTTATCTTTTGACATATGTTGTCATTATTTGGCAGGGCCAAACTGTGTTTTATCAGAAGAATGATCAAATCCTGGAATCTACAGGTTGGCATACGTCGTTGCAGACTTTATGAGGAGTTTGACAAGGAGATCTTTTATGGAAAAGTAAAAAAGTCCCACAACACACTACATTCCTTTATTCTTTACACAAACTCCACATCTGACTGGCTCTATAGGAAAACCAAACAGAAGCAAGATCAACTGCATCAATCATTTCAAAGTTTTAGTAGGTGTGATGACTGTTATGAAATAAAAACAAGAGAAACCAGAATCATGAGGTCTTCAAAGACTTTTTGACTGCCAGATGCTCCGTGGAATTACAAAAAGGTTTGTCGGTTCATGCGTCTCCCTCTACTGAGTTAGCTAACCAAGGTGGATGATATCATCATTGATTCAGGAGGTTCAGTTCAGGTTCTCCAAGGTCAGACAGTCCAAGCTTCTCTGATAGCATCATATAAAAGCAAGCAGCTGTCACGCATAAAATTCTGTACCATTCTTTTATGATTTATCTAACGGTTTGGGTCCTTTCCCAGCATGCGTTTTCCCCTCCTGGCAAATCTCCCTGCTGTCAAAGCTTTATATTCTTCTATCTTTTCCCTCATCCCATATTTCTTCATGGGTATTGCTCCCCAGATGGTTCCTGGTAAATCAAGGTGATTTATCTGCTGCAGTTTTGTGTGATGACAGTGATAAGTTGCCAAGGCAGCACAGATCTGCTCTCAGTCCCACTTTCCCCACTTTTGTAGATATGGTTGTCACATACTATTTTGGAAGTTAAGGAATGTTTGCTCAGCATTATGGCTGGTATCTTGTTTCCTCAGCTGCTCGGAGATTCAATGAAGTCCATTTGAATACAAATTTTAATGATGCATTTCAGACAATGGACAGGATAAATGAGACTCACCTGGAAATAATTTGGCCATTAATGGTATAAATATTTTGGACATTAAATGTATAGTGGAGGATGTTCTTTTTCTGGGTGGATCATTAAAATAAGTGGTCCTACTAATTGTCAATCATTCTGGTGATATGTTTATGTAAGGCCGTCCTATGTGCTGGTCCCCATTTTTACTTACCGGTGGCGAGTCTGACAGTGGAAAAATTACAAATCTTCTTTTGGAAAGTAAGCTTGTATGAGTGATGCAAACAGCAACTTTCAAACAGAGCGTGCATGAGGAGAAATGGGCTCATGCATGCTCTTACACACGTTTAATATGTGTTCCCTCTCGGGGGCGGCTACATTTTTTAAAGGTGGAGAGGGCGGTTCTTTTCAAAAATTCACGAAAACCCTTCACTATATCTTCACATTACAGCTCATTAAAATTATTCCTCTTTGTGCAGTTTTCAGTTGACTTAAAAACAATTTTATCACTGCTGTACGATTACAGGTTATTGTTTTAGCACTAATTTATCCATCTGACATATTTTATTGTGCTTTTTGGTGTAATTCAGATTCACAGAGTTTCATAGATGTTAAACATGATAAATAGATATATTCTTTGCAGCATTTAGTTCCTATGCTCCACTTATCTGGAACAAACTCAAAGAAGACTGAATTGTTTTAAGTCAAAGCTAAAAAAATATTTGTTTGGAGCTGCCTTTGAGTGTTGAAATTAAACAGTTAACTAAGGTATTATTAGTTTGTGGTTCAACTGTTTTTGTTTGTTTGACTACCTGCTTTCATCATGCTTTATCTTGTTTTGCTTTTATTAAGCATTTATTTTTCTTCTTTAACTGTTTCTGATACTGTTTTACTGTAATTCATGTAAAGCACTTTCAATTCTCCTGGTATTGAATAATATACAAATGCACTTGCCTTGCCTTACCTTCCTACATGAGCTGAAACAGAACAACAGATTAATTCAGTAGCATTTATTCATCACTAATCCTTAAACATTGATCCTAACTTTGTTTTTACAGTCAGTAGTTGAGCACTGATTGCTGCAAAGAGGGTGGAAAGGAATTACTATATACATTGTTTAATAATTTATGAAAATGAATCATACTTTGTTCAGTATTTATTGTTGCATATTCACCATGGTATATGTCTATATGAAAAACCTGTTTTGGTTTGCGTAAAAGTCTTTCAATCCAAAGGAGGGGTCGATAGGTGCTTTTAACAGCAGCGTTAGATTGAGCCAACAAGCAGATGATGATTGGTGCTTTGTGGCTTAGATTGCTCACCTTTCACAATAACAGTGGAGAGAACCTGCTGAATGTGCTGTGCTCCTGTAATTAACTAAAAATGTGCATAGCCACAGCTGTGTGGTGCAGCCAGGCAAGCAGTCTGATGGAGTCCCTCTGGAGGGGAGGCATTATGGAAGGCTAACCTGAAGTGAAACAAGTATTACACAGGGTCAGCAGTTTCTTGCTTCTGCTGGCTTGTAATCAGTTTTTAGGAACACAAGTCAATATGTTAAAAAACTAGCTTTTTACACACCTAAGGACAAGGTTGTTATCTGATTTTGCATAAATCATGTTTTTTTTCCCTTTATTGAATCCAACTTTGGGTTAGAATGACCAAGCTACGGTTCAGAAGGACTTCCAGATACAGACACATAGCAGTCGTGGACAATCAGAGGAGGAAGGTCGGAGTGTAGCAATATACCAAAGAATGACAGAAGAGCTGGAGGGGAGGGGGAAGGTGAAGGTAAAAACACGATGGTGTTGGGGGGAGGTTCATGGCTACCCATAGCCAATCATTAGCCACCCCTGTGGACACCCCTACCAGTTGATTTGTTGTTCCCATGTGCATCTAATTCACCACCTCCAGAACAAGCAGTCCTTCTCTAAACAGAAGAGAGTGGCAG